GCTGTTTTGCCAGATCGTGATCGTCCAGCGTAGAAATGAAGTGTTCCACATACTCGCGATGCGTAGCCAATGTAGCCAGTCTTTCTTCTTTAATCGCGATCTTGGCTTTCTTGGTTGCGGAATTAAGACGATGCAAGAACTCCAGCTGGGTTTCATCGGATTGCTTCCGCGCGAGGTAACACTGTCTGTCCACTGACTCACCTTGTCCTCCGTACTGTATCATAAATCAATCCAGCAATCTTTTTCAGTGGTACCCTGTAGATTGGTTCAGCTGGTTGTACCAGTCTCGCTCGTCCCGTCAACACAACACCGAATGCCAAACACTTTTCTCTACCTGGCGCCTGATAGCGCAGGAACGCCGACTTGACCTTGCAAACCAATCCTCTGACCCGATCTTCGTCTCGATCTTTGCCGCTAAATTCCTTCAGTTCTTTAATCGCTGACACTCAAATGCGTTAGATAATATCACCACCGTTTTGCAGCGTCTCTGCGGTGGCTATCATCTGCACGTAGCTGCTTTTCTTGCCTGAAATCATTGGGATCGGCATCTTCGGGATCGGAAATGTCAGATCGACTGAGATGCGATCGAACCAATTCCACCTCAACTTCTAGAGTATGCAATTCTTGGACTTTTTTCGACTTGATCCTTTGGCTCGGCTAAATCGCTTGATACAATCGTTCCCGTTGATCTTGATGAAAACGTTCCATGGTCTCATCGAGGTACGTCCGCAGTGTACTTGTATAGTTGACATCATCTCTCCTGTAGCGCATGTGATCGTTGATCGCGGTTCAATCTTGATCGTCTCAGCTTGATCGAGTAGATTTGCTGCCCTACTTGGGCCGAGAGATATCCACTGAATACCAACTCAACCATTCGACTCCATTTCAGATCCAGCTAGGATGTACTGTGACTATACGATATGGAATTCTCTCGAATCGTCGGTGATCGTAGCGGCAGCTTGACCTGTGGATGCGCTCTTACCTGTCAGAGGGACCACCTTGTTATACAGCAATCAACACGCGTGGATCACCTGGTCTTGATCGCACTATAGCATTTTGTTCGCGTCGGACACTCCAGCAACGTACTCAGCGTCATGTAGTAGCTGGATGATCGCGTTGATTCCGTCTAGCGGGTTAGTTGCCACCGTCGTTAACGATATCAGACCTTAGAAATCTTCGATCAGCTTGGGCTTCAATATCTGGAGCACTGGACTTGTTGTTAAATGATTTTTGAGCGTCTCCCAGTGACATCCCTGCGCCAGTTGGACCATCTGCGAGTCTTTTATCTTGATGTTATTGTCCATGAACTTGATCGGTCGACTGATTGATTTTACACTGTTATCGTGTTGTTCCGATCTGACCTCTTCTTTCTCCACTCAATTCGCCTTCACAATCTTCTTCTCCAACACTGTCGTAGTGATCCTGTGTAGTTATGTTCAGTTTTCGCTGAAGGTTTTTCACCCAGTGGATCTTGCTGCAAAGCACGATCCGCGGTGGTTCCCGAAGGGACCTCAGGAGGGGGTCGAGGTTTCTCTTCCAGATCGATAAATCGATCTCTTCTTTATTCTTCTTGTCATAATAGTTCCTCCCAAAAACTCTAAAGATCCGGGGATCATTTACAATCACGTGTCTGCGATGATCCTTTTGCTATTTACGCTTTCATTCCAAGTTCAAGTTTGACCTTTTCACCTTCATTCAGGGACGCACGGTGAAGTTCCTAGTCACCAAAAGATTCGTGCACGCGCACCATCGTGGTGGAGTGGCGATGTCCCATCATATGAGACAATCTCGATACTCCACTGGTACCCAGAAGACTGAATATCGGAGAAGGTACTCCGTCTTAGTGCCTTGTATTTCCTTCCTCAGCTTGTGTAAACGTCAAAAGGGCGGGCTGCACTCTTACGGGCGGAAGTGTGTCGAGAAAAAACTTGGTCGTATTAAGGATGGGGTTCGTGATCGCGCGGAAACCTTCACACGATCACGGGGTACCTGCATTTACTTGATGCAAGCCACCTGATCTCAACGAGATCGCCTTGTACACTATGTGGATGCTTGATACGCGAGTCTTCTAACCACTTGAGCCGTCTCACGTTGTTTCGCCTTGTCATTTACGTTCTTGGTGCATCCAGCAGCAGTTGGGGTTATCTTGGGAAATCTCGATCCCAACCAATTATCTGGAATATAACTTGGTTTCTTTACGCGCGGCTTATTTGACGCCGCGAGGCCAAACTTCCAGCCCGGAAGAGAATTCGACACGTGTATTTAGAAGTAAAAAGAATATCTGCTTATTGTCAACCAATATAAAACTTAAAATACGAATACTCCTGTCTATACACCAGGATATACTGCCACGTGCCTTCTACATTCCGTCGATAGTTTCTTCGCATACGTGGTCCAATTAAGGTAGATCATCGATCTCACTGGGTGATAATCAAACTCCTAGACCGCTCGTTGATCTTCTCGGTTGACTATCAATCTCCTTAGTTGATCTTCAACATCAGTGACCGATCGTCGATCATCTCGATTAATTTTCAATCCTCTTGACCAACCGTCTACATCCTCGGTTAATTGTCGATCGCCCCGATTGTCTATTTTCAAGAGGTCATCAATAATCTTGTCTGATCATGTGCTGATCCATCTTTAATCACCTGATCGTCGATCAATCTTAGACTGTGATACCTGCTAATTGTCGGTCATCTTCCCGAATTTGAACACCTCACACGTACCTATCTTGGTATCTTGACTCAATCTTGTCAGCTTAATGTTCAATCTCGTTGCTGTAAATTTTGATAGCAGTAATCCGAAATTTATAATTTGTCGCGGTATTCGATCTTGTAATTGCGCTATTCGGTCTTGGTGTTACGCAGGTTTAAAAAACAGCCGATCGATCCTTCTCAGTGAATGATCGAAATTTAAGATCGCTACACCCAACGATCGCCCCAATTTCTTCAATCCTCTTTATTACACCATCGTTCAGCATTCTGCTACTACCGAAACATTCTTAAAAGATGCCCGCACCATTCCGTCTATCTTCGGAAGTGAAGCGCTGGTATACTACATGCACCCTCATGCGCCAGTAGGTGAGCGAAAGTCGGCGATGTTTCTGTCCGCATCGTGCCTCATCGACTTCGTAGGATTTATTATGATGTTGGCAGCTCCATGTGGTATTCTAGGTTACGGTTTCGATCCGAACTCCACGCGTAGTGTGCATATCATCGTCCTTACTGTAATTATATCTGAGTTTGTAGGACGAGTAGTTTGATTTAAAAACCTACATGATCTATATGTGGACAACGTAATACATACGGATGCAGGTATAATTGGATCCTACAAATTTATCTCTTTCACATCTATCTTCTACAAATGCAGTCGTCTACACCTCATGTGTCGACTTCCTTCGTGCTCTTTAAACTTCCTGGACGAGGTCTTATCCCATATATCAACCACCTCGGTCCACACACCAGAGAGCTGCTTAATGAAGTCGTTGTTTTCTTCGCAATATTTTTGTAGTCCTTGTTGGTGCTCTCGAGCTTTACAAACGGCTTGGACCTCCGCAGTTGTCGTACTTGCGCGTATGCTGGTACAGGTCCTGAACGATGTTTTCTCCAATCTACGGCTATATTGTGGGGCGGAAAGACTTGCTTATCACTGAAGTCTACATTTCCAAGTCTTCACCATCATCTTAATTTGCTGATGCATGTGCTTATTCAACAGCACTTTGCAATACTATGCGCCCGCTGTCCCGCGTGACTCATCCAGGTTCAGAACAACGATCTCCGACATCTTCGGAAAACCGCGTATCAAGCACATCGCCACGTGCCTTCCTCCATATTGGTGTCCATGCTTCTCATGTTGGCGGTGGTGCTCAAGAACTTGTTTTGATGGTGCAACACTTGCTATCCCTCTCTTGTCCGTACCGAAGAGATGTCGCATGACAAATGAAGCTGCCGGTTAATAAACTTGCGCAATAGTCAGTCCCGCACGACCCGAACTGCAACTTAATAGCATCATTTTTAAGGGAACTGTGCCATAATGATTGGACCTATCGAAAGATTAGACAGACGGAACGATTGGATAAACCGATGATCGATACGGACATCAAAGCTGCTTGGGCTTAGTAAGCTCAGTTATCCAAATAACTTCTCAGTCTCCTTTCGATGTCTAAAGGGACATCACGCCATCGTTTAGCGTTCTGCTACCCACCGTAAAACTTTATGAAATGTGACCACGCCATTCCGTCTAGCTTCGACAATGAAGCGCTGGTATACTGTGTACACCCTCGTGGGCCAGTAGGTGAGCGTAGAAAAAACCCTCAACGTAGCGTCTTAGTAAAATAATTGGGACCAAAAAGTGATAAACACATGCTTCAGAAAGTCCTTAATGCACTCGCCCTGTAGCCCCTGTCGAAACTCCAATATTATGCGAGTCACCATTGTGCATTGACCAAAAAAAACGAATACATTTGCGCATGTGTATCCCCTGCTTCAACAAGTACCACACGTAGATTGTCTTCCGAATATAAAAAGCCAGCACTATCAATGTCTTTAAGCCAATGTACTGCGGATTGGGCTGCTCACTGACTATTCTCGGGTCCTGACTCAATGTGCGTATAATGCTGTGTTGCAGGTTGACCGTTGCTGTCGCCAGCACTTATCGTGATACTGATCACGCTAGGATAATGTTAATCACATGTTTTGGTGTAGTAGCCGGTGATGATGCCAGGTCCATAGGAAGACGCAAGATTATGAGAGGAAACAATGCACTTCAGTGGTAGTATTTAACACGTAAAAATATTTGTCAGTTCACAACTATCATCACAGTATGCAAGTACTAGTACAACCAGCAGCGCAGAGTCGACTGCTGAGCTGGAGAACTCCATGCTGCATAAAGCTAGAGAGGGGACGCGTCGCGAACATATAGGAGGTTAGGAGCCCAAATGGTGAGCGTGAAGATGATGGCGATTCTCGCTAACGAGAAACCTCGCGACCCAGTTTGAAAACATGGGACGCTTTGAGACTCCTGACGGAATTGGAGGGCCTTCACTTCCGTTTTCGTCATCAGAGCAACAGACACCGATGACCCCATGTGCTCATATGGATATGATGCAACTCATTGCAACTTTGCAACAAGAAGTTCTTGGGTTGAGGGCACAAGCCCACGCATCGAGGCAAACCGACTCAAATGTGACTACGCACACCGCCTCACCGGCGGCATCTTTCGCAGCATATCGGCCAGTTGGTGCACCCAAGTTGAAGGACTTCAAGGTCATTGAGATCACCGGGGAAGAGCAACACTCAGGACTTGGAGCAGATTGGGACTCGTTCAAGTATCAATTTGATGTGCAGATACAAACGCTTGAGACCTTCGATCTCGTAGTCTGGAATGAAGAGCATCGACTGAGCACTATGGCGATGTGCTTGCGCGGTGCAGCCTTTAGGCATTGCGAGTACCTCGCGGATCGAGGACTTACTGCCAACTATGACAGTGTCTGCCGGTCGATGAAGAATCGCTTTTGCTGTAAGCTAATCCAGTCTCAACTGGAAAAGCTACTTGAAGAACTCAAGAGAAACAAGGCAACATGGACACCTTATATCGAGTACATGAGAGCTGTGGCTAGACGCATGGATGGTAGCCCGAGCAAGATTATCCTTGAATACTTCTGCTCATACTTTTGCCCATCAGAGTAGAGATGCTTGCTAGCGAAGATTGATCAAGACAGCTCGGAGTACGGGACCGAGCTCGAGAAAGCTACTCGATACCTGACATCCATCACAGGTAACGAAAGGGATCTCTTCTGTAAGCCAAAGCGGCGACGAACCTGTACGACCGTGCTGAAAGAGACAAACCGAAGTTTGAGAAGAACCAGCGAAGGTCAAGGCAAGCTGGTGATGCGTTCAGTGCAGGAGGAGCCAAGAAGCATCCTAAGCGTGCATGTTCCTTCTGTGAGGATGAGGGACACACTGTTACAACATGCCCACTCAAAAAGGAGTTTCTGAAGAAGAAAAGTTCAACAGGCTCAGCTAATGTGGTGGGGGCACTCTCTTGAGATCAACAAGACCAATGAAAAGAACTGTCAGTACGCATCATGCTGGGCAGCGTTCAGAGGCATCAGTAATGATCGGGAATGATTTTTGGACTCAGGCGCTAGTCATCACACATGCGGTACCGGATTTGCACTGCAAAACGAGTACGCATGCAATCTGTCCGTAACTATCGCAGGTGGACGCACCATCCAGTCTACTACGTGTGATCACATCGTGATGGAGATAGATGTCAATGCAAGTTTATTAAAAATTCTGTTGCAAGACGTGCACGTGATCCCAGGCCTACGCAAAAATCTGCAATCAATTGGTCAACTTGCGAAGAAAGGTATCCATACCTCATTTACCAAGCAAGACGCAACACTGTACAAGTTTGACGACACTGGAGTCAAATATTCTGTTGGCTGCGCCACGTGGAACAATGGACTTTGCTGCCTTAATGGGCATGCAATCGCTCCAGCTGTTGCGAGCGTAGCAGCAAAACCTACCGACAGCATCATGGAATGGCATGCTTGACTCGGCCATGTTAACGTTGAGGAGGTGGCGATGATTGAGAATTATGACCTTGCTGATGGCCTACACATCATTGACAAGAAGCGAAGTGATTGTGATGCGTGTCGCGAGGGTAAACAAACGAGTAGCGCTAAAGCGCAAACAGAAACTTCCGAATCATCACCAACGGATGAGATTGGCGCCGTTATTGGAGTTGATATCAAGACAAACGTCGAACCGCACGATTACAAAGGCTGCACTCACTCTTTGCATGTTGTCGACTACGCGTCTAGCTATGGAGAAGTATTTCCAATGCGTGCTAAGTCCGACTGGTTCCCGTTGTTGACACAATTCATTTTAAGATTTGAGCGACAATACGACGTGCGAGTGAATGTCATTCGGAGTGACAATGAATTTGACACGAACAAGATTAGGTCGCGGTGTGCAAAACGCGATATATGACAGCAACTAACGGGACTAGACGAATTGTCTTCCAATGGAAAGGTGCAGAGGAGTCACAGGACTTTGTTTTGACGGCACGCAGGCTATTATGTTTGATGCTGCTCAGTCTCCTCGCTTCCTATGGTCGGAATCACTACGACATCAGTCATGTTTACGAAACCGAATCCCGACACGTGCAAACGGCGGGAACAAGTCGCCGATTGAAGCTCTCACTGGACACAAGCCCAACCTTAGTAGCGTACTAAAGTGGGGACAAACCAATACGGTTCATGTCAAGAGCAAGTCAATGGGAAAACGGTAGAAGTGTGAGCACGGCGTGTTCATCGGGTATGATGACAAGGCCAAGGGACATCGCGTGTTCGTCAAACGCATCAAGAAGATTTTGGTATTGCAGCATGTTCAGTCGATAAACTCGGCCAAGAGGAGTATCGACAAGGATCTACAAGCTATCGATGATGTACTCATCGACAACTTCTCTGACGCAGAGAGTATACCGAGTCCAAGTGAATATGGATCGAGCGTTTCTGGCCGTGAAGAAATTTAGGATGACTTACACACTGGTGTAAATCAATCGCTGGCAGTACTACGCGAGCGTCGTCATGTGAACATGCCTGTTTGAAATGCTGACGGTGCCGTAATGGTGGTTGTACGAGTCAAAGAGCCAAGGTCCGCCAAAGAAGCCATGAATCTTCCTGAAAGACAGAACTGGATCGATGCGATGAAGGCATAGCTCGATGCACTCGTCAAAAATGGCACTTGGGCGGTTGTCGATGAACCAAAGAAGGGTACAAACATCGTCGACAGCAAGTGAGTTTTGAAGATCAAGTTTGACGCCGATGGTGACGTTGAGCGCTTTAAGGCAAGACTTTTTGCCCGAGGGTTTAGCCAGAAGTACGGCGTTGATTTCTCGGAAACATTTGCACCGGTCATCAAAATCAGCAGCGTGCGTCTATTTTTTGCATTGTCAAGCTTGCTTGGACTGCGACTGACTCATGGCGACGTTCTTAATGCCTACGTGAAGGGTTTGCTGCGCGAACTCATCTACATGAAGGCACCCATGGAGCTGGACGTCGAGGCGGGAAAGGTACTCAAGCTGCTAAAGCCATTGTATGGACTTAAACAGTCGGGTCGCTGCTGGAATGAGACAATGAACGAGTACATCATCGCCCTTGGTTTTATCAAGTCAAGACTCGACCCGTGCATCTACTACAAGCGCGGGAAAAGGAGCGGTTGATGCTTCTTGGACTTTACGTGGATGATGTGCTGATCGCGTTTCATAATGAGGAGGAGCTGCGCGATGTTACACTGAAGCTGGAAGAGCGCTTCAGCATCAAGATGCTCGGGCCAGTGAAGAAATTTCTTGGTATCGCAGTGCACGAGACCTCGCAAAGTTATTTTTTATCTCAGCAGAGCATGATATGTGACGCACTCCGCACATTCAATCTTGAACACGTCGGAACTGTCACGACTCCAATGGATCCCAACACAGACTATAATGGTACTGACAGTGAAGAATTAGTGGACCTACATCGCGTACGTGAGGCTCTCGGTACTCTTCTTTGGATTGCAAATTCTACTCACCCAGACATAGCGTATGCTACAAACTTTGCGTCATGACACCGCGTGAAGCCTCGTAAGTGTCTTTGGGAGCTGATCAAACGGATTTTCACTATCTTAAAGGCACATCAGATCGTGGATTGCGCTACTGGAAGACTAGTGAGGCTGTTTCAGTTGAAAACCTCGAGGTCAACAGTTGGTCCGATGCTGATTGGGCTGTTGGTCGAGTCAACCGAAAATCAACGAGCGACGCCTTCCTTGAAGTAAATGGGCGGCCGATAGCGTGAAGTTCAAAGAAGCAAGCCGTTGTTGCGATGTCCACTACGGAAGCAGAGTTCATTGCCGGTGCGACGAGTGTGTCTGAGTGTGGATGGATCAGGCAGCTTCTTCAAGAGCTGCTCCGCATCGAAATTGTCCCAAGTGTCATTGCTGACAACCGAGGCGCGATACGAGAGATAAAATACGAGATGGTGTCATCTGCTGCAAAGCACATTGCTATAAGATATCACTTCATCAAGGATGAAACTAGCAAAGGACGCGTTAGTGTGAAATCGTGTGCCTGTAACGACCAGCTTGCAGATATTCTGACCAAGGCGCTCCCGCGTCAAACATTCGAGGAGCTAAGATGCCAACTTTAGGTGGCGAAGCGCGAGTTACAAGGTTAGTAGCTCATCACGGTCAGGAGGAGTGTTGCAGTTGACCGTTGCTGTCGCCAGCACTTATCGTGATACTGATCACGCCAGGATAATGTTAATCACATGTTTTGGTGTAGTAGCCGACGATGATGCCAGGTCCATAGGAAGACGCAAGATTTTGAGAGGAAACAATGCACTTCAGTGGTAGTATTTAACACGTAAAAATATTTGTCAGTTCATAACTATCATCACAGTACGCAAGTACTAGTATAACCAGTAGCGAAGAGTCGACTGATGAGCTGGAGAACTCCGGCGCGCATAAAGCTGGAGAGCGGACGCGTTGTTAGCAGAAAAAATGCTGCGGTAACAGCAGCCTCGCCTTAAGGGAGTCGAGTCCGGGTTTATCCTCGCCCATTCTTCGAAAAGATTGGTACGCTAGAGCTGTACATTGCAACGCCGGTTAGAGAGGAAGATGTTGGAAACTATAATTTGAAATCGTTGATGGCGTTGAGCTGGGTAATCGTCGGGGTAATTTTTTTTGTTAACCATCGTATACGCTGTTGCTGCGTGTTGTTGGGGCTGCCAAGCCACTATGTGACAGGCCACGACGGGCTGGGATTATAGATAAGCGCTGTAATTGTGACGTCCTGGCATGAAGTCTGATTCACTCCATGGGACCGACCATTTAAATGCGTTTATAAAACTTTCATATCTACAATGCGACCTTCGTCGAAGTCCATATCGTCCCCCTAATACACACATAACGCTCCTTATTTTGCGACATTTGCAAAGAATTCGAGCCAAAACAGACGCTGGTCATGTCATTATTAAAGTTTACCAACTAAAGGTTTTAATGGACAACTTCATTTGGTTGTTTACCATTAGACTAGTATTCTAAAGTATTGACCGCAATTCCTCCCATGTTCACTTCGGCCCCAGCAACCGTATAATGGAGGTGGCCTACACGAAGCCATAGGAGAAGAGACACTTGAATGGTGGTCTACGTGGCCACTCTCATACGCTTTGTTGTCTGAGCTCTCTGCCAAATCATTGCGCATACTGCGTAAGCAGAAAACATCCTAAAAGTTGTGACTTGTTGAAGGATTTCCTCGGTGGCTTGATATACAAAGGATTGGTCTTCTTGTTCAGATTCTCTACGCACATTCTGGGTAACTTCGAGCAGTAATGTAGAAGTGATAATTGTTTTGTCCGCCAAACAAGACAAGTTTCTGGCCGCTTTTTGCGTCCTGCTCGATCAATCTATATGGCTTTACGCCGACTTAATTCAGTCTCTGGCGCGTATCAACTCGTCGTTGTCGAACAGGGTCTCTTGCCATTTTGTATTGTCCTAGGAGCTTCCTATGCAAAAGTTCTGCTGCGAAAACATCTACGCAAATTGGTTCAGCCTGATTTCTTCACTGTAGTAAAATGCTCCGATGGAAGTTTCTTCGCCTGGCGTGCTAAATGTGACACCACTGTCGTTAATGGAATCGTTCGATAACTTCGCTTTGTTACCCTGAACATTTTGTACAAGATCCCAGGATTCGTGATGCCCACTTAGCGTTGAATGCTGCAAAAATAATTTAATTTGTAAAAGAGGACCTCCGCCGTTCCAGCCGCATTGCCAGAGTAAATCCTTGTTCTTTCTGCGCGCAGTATCTCAAGTTGTCCTTCCTACACTCAAAACAAATTGCCTTTATGCAACGGGTTTAAAACAGCGATGGAACGGTACGGAGGCTGATTGTAAAAAATGATGCACAACAATATTGAGTTAACTTATCAGTATGGATGTAGCGTTTCAAATTGGTTCCTGATTATTAAATTGACTGAAAATGACTGTTTAGAAAGTCCTTGTCGTGTTCAACTATGCCCGCATTTTGGAGCATTGAATGTACAGTGTTGGTGTTGCGGAAATCCGGCTAATATCTGCATGAAGAAGCACAAGTAGGTTTATTATGTGCCCGAATCCGGATTGCATAGAATAGCGCAACCCGAGGCGCAGGTGTTGTGCTAGGCGCTTTGTTATCCTCTACCTCTAAGTTATGTAGCCACTTTGGAGATGTAGCTGCTTGTGCCCACCTACCGACGTATCGACAAGCTGTAATGACGCAATCAGCGTCATTGATCCACTCTCTGTATTCCTGTATGTCTCTGACATCTTTTCGATGTCAGTGTCTATCCCGTTGCTTGGTCCCGTTTTGACGCTAGAGCGTTCGTTCCGAAGCGTGGACTTTCCGCCTGAGTTCGTGATAACCCAGCCTTCCAGATTTGATGACCCAGTCTTCCATGTTGCTGAACGTATATCAGGTGGCGTTGAAATTACCTGGAACTCCAGATCCCGTATCCTCAACTTCAACCGCTGACCGTACCAGATCCTGCAGTGCCATATAGTTGTTAGTGTAAGAGTAAAGATTCATAGGATCACACTTTAGCACAACGATAACTTTGATAAATCTCACTTTCCAAATTTCCGTCTTCCTCTCCAGTCTCCAGTCTTCAGCCTTCGCACCAACACAACATTTGGTAGCACTTGTCGGTCGGTTTCGGTCCATCTCCGTTTTGTTTCGTGGGCATCAAGAGTTGTGTGACGCGCCCCGTGTCCTTCGATTAAGCAATCATCCTGGGGCTTACGCTCATTTGATATTGTCGATGTCGCATCCGTCGTCTCAACCACCTGACGGTGGCTCTCAACCCTATTTGAACGACGGTTGCATTCCATCTGACCTGAGCCACGCGCTTAATGCGCTTGCTGCCAGCATTGCGGCGCAGAACGCACAAGCTGCGATAAACGCACAACAGAGCCAGCTCTGGAACTGTGAAGTGAGGACCGAAGGTATTTCAATGCCTGTGTACAGCGGCCTACCAAACGATAGCGTAGAAGATTTTATCTTTCGTGCCAAGTTGTTCATGAATGGCAAGAACTTGGATTACTGTCAGCCTCAAACCATCAGCGGATCGTGGCCATGATGGCCTCCAACCTGAAGAACGCTGCTGCCTCATTATACCATACACGTATTGCTGTGGAGGGCAAGCAAATTTTCACCTTCGAAGAGCTACGCGACGCCCTCATATCCAAAGTTGGAACCGCCTGACCAGCAGTTTCGTGCTCGCGCCGCTCTCAAGAAGTGTCACAAGACAGATTCTATTGAAGAGTATTTATCACCTTCCGCCAATTTATCAAGCAAGTCCGCGACATGAGTCAGTTAGACCAGATTGACCGTTCCTGTGATGGTCTTAAGTCGGAAACGCACAAAGAATTGACCTATCTGCGCTGTTCCACGCTCAGTTAAGCGATCGCTCACGCGCAAGCATTCGGACGCACCCACTTTGACCGATTCATGTCTGATTCCAGTCGCAACAGAACCCCGCGTCCGTTTGAGCGAGGCATCGTACAGAGGCAAGGAGAATTCGCTCCAGTTCCAATGGATATTAGCAGCATGGAATCTCGTCAAGTGACGAAAGAGCAGTGCGGAACTTATAGCCTGTGTGTTTCTACTGCAGGGAAAATGGGCACGGAATCTGCAACTTTCCGAAGTAGAGCCAACGTTCGATTGAACGAGCGCCTTCTCGCTCGGTGAGCACGGTGATGAAGACTATGATAATCATCCAGCGATCGACAATATGTCAGTCTCATCGGTCGTGCTGAGTAGTGACAAACCATTCACTTCTGATATACCAGAACCAGTTCCGGCCTCACTCTCAGGTCCGAGTCCGTGTTCAGCCGAAATTGTCTTCTCGCCCAGAGAACCAGAAGTGACCAAGCCACTACTTAAGAAGGGAGCGTTTGTTATTGGCAAGAATTGTCGCCTCCTCATAGACTGTGGGGCTACGCACAATGTGTTAAAGCCCAAGATTTACGATGGACAGCGCAAGCCGGTCACAGTTCATGTGACCACCTTCAACGGGGACAAAGTTACAGCCCCAACAAGGGAATTAAAGACCAGCGTGCAAATGGATGGAGTTCAGTTTAACGATGTCGCATTCACGGAATGGAAGACGTCGTCCGCATACGACAGGATTCTAGGACAACCATGGCTGCAGAACATGAACCCGATTATTGACTGGACAGAGCAGACAATATCGTACCGACAGCAGGCACCATATGCCTACCTGGCCGATGATCTGACCGACAAGGAGGCACAACAAGTCTATGCCAAGTTGTGTAGCGTCGAAGTGACGCGTCCAATGGTAACAATGCTGCCACCAGGAGTAGAGCAGCTTATTCACGAATTTGTTGACCTGTTTCCTGCATCATTGCCTACAGGACTACCACCAGTGCGTGACGTGGAGCATGCGGTTATTGTAAAGCCAGGCGCTCGTCCTACAAGCCGACCTCCGTTTCGAATGGCTCCAGTGGAGAAAGTGGCCCTAAGTAAGTTCGTGGACGAGCTACTTGCGAAAAAATGGAAACAAGTCAGCTCGTCGGAGTGGGTATCCAACATCTTTGCAGTTCCCAAGAAAGACATCATCACAGGAAAGCTCAATCACGGGCTGATTGGATTCGCAGTGGGAATTCGAACGCATTGGTGCGTTGGGTGATCGATTATCGGCAGATAAATTCGCAGACCGAGGTGCCCAAGATCTCACTTCCAAGAATCGATGACATTTTTGACAAAATGAGTGGGGCCAAGGTCTTCTCCACCATCGATTTAACGTCAGGATACCATCAGATGCGTATGGAAGAGTCTTCTCGCAAGTACACGGCAATTAGAACGCATAACGAGTGGCTGGTTGCACCAATGGGTCTGGCTGACATGGGAGGCTCAAGCTTAAGACTGACGCGTATGATCTTTGCGAAGCCTGAATTTCAAGACATTTTTGTCGTCTACCTGGATAATATTTGCGTCTTCAGCTCCAGAGTGGAAATACATTTCACGCACTTGCGCGTAGTGCTACAAGTGCTGAACCGTGAAAAACTTTATTTACGCAAGGAGAAGTGCTCGTTCGTGCAAGACCGCATCGAGTTCTTAGGACATGTCGTGAGCGCTAACGGACTCGATGTAGACTCCCGAAAGGTGGAAGCCATCGTCCTCCGGCTGCTACCTCTGAGCGACATTCTAAAAGAATCAGTAACCTAATGCTGGAGCCAAGCCGCCGAACGTGCCTTCTTTGACATCAAAGCTGAAATCACACGCGCTCCTGTTCTACAACTTCCCGATTTCAAAAAGGAGTTCTTAGTCGTCACAGATGCCTCTGGATTCTGCATCGGTAGCGTTCTCTCACAGTCGATTCAAGGTCGGGAGATGCCCGTCGCGTTTTTTTGTCACAGAAACTGGATCAGACTGAGAAGACACGGCCTGCATTCGAGCAAGAGCTCTTTGATATTCGCCAGTCTGTGGAAAAGTGGTTTGTGTACCTGGTCGGTCGACCGTTTAAGATTTACACGGACAATTCGGCTTGCAAGTGGCTACTATCACCATCAAAGAAGCTCTCGCCCAAGCTGCTGCGTTGGCTGGAAATTTTCTCTGAGTATCAGCTCGAGGTATTTCATCGTCCTGGAAACCAAAATGTCGTAGCTGATGCCCTGTCTCGTCCTCCAGTCACGGCTCTAAACAAGAGGGACATCGCGTTGTACTGTGTGCAATAGCTTTCTTCGTCTCAAGAAAATGTTTGCTGCCACGAGCGTTTCCGCAATGATGAACGCATCGTCAACGCGATATCTCTCGAGGGTACATGCGGGGCCAGAATCTAAAACCAGTCCTAAAGTCTCTTGAGCGTGGTGAACTCCTCGTCCACTTATGTCTGAAGAACGGGTGAATTTACCTGGAAACTAAGGACCAAGTGACACCTGTATGCGTTCCAGCGTCGTCCAAATCCATTCTTTTTCGCATATTTCACGACTTCCATGATGCAAATATCGTAGCGCATCCAGGCGTAATGCTAACTTATTTGATGGTTCGTCAATGGTACTCCTGGCATGGAATGAGGAAGGATGTCGAAGAGTTTGTTCGGCCATGTGAACAGTGTCTGCGAAACAAGCCCGGAAGCAGAGATCAAGGTCTCACGCAACCCATTCCGGTGCCAACGAGCTGCTGGAAAGTCATTACAACTTACTTTCTGATTCATTTCCCCATCTCGAGTGGATCCGATGCGATTCAGGTCGTAGTGTGCAAGATAAGCAAGCGTCCACGTTACATTCCAATCCACAAGAATGTCGATGCCAAGGAATTTGCGAAGTTAATGTTCGTGCATTGCTTCAAACAGTATGGTATTGCAAGTGTCATCTTATCCGAACGCGACCCCAGATTCACTCCAGATTTTTGGTCCGAGCTAATGTACCTCCTTGGAGTCGAGGTGTCTATGACCGTGGCGCACCGTGCTCAGGCTGACGGACAAAGCGAAAGGAAGATTCGCACACTTGAGGAGAGCTTGCTGTGCATGATAAGTCACCGAGGAGGGAACTGGTACCATGTACTTTTATTCGTTGAGTAAGCTCACGCCACATGCGTAGCCATGAGCACCGGGTTTTCTCCTTTTGAGGTCGACACCGGTCGAAAGGCTCGTCATCCAAGTGCAGTCGGTGAAATTGTGCCTAATAGAGTATTGATAAAGGGAAACAATGGCTACGCACTCACAAACAACTTGATTACTGGAGGGAAACTTTTGGACTGAGTCTACTCAATGCATGTCTTCATGTCAGGAGGAATCTTCTACGAAATACCTTCCAGATAAAACCTTCCCTGGAAAAGGTATTGTCAACCGCCACCCTTTACTTCATTGTCCACCGTTGACTTGCATCAAGTTTCCAACACGCCCTCCTCCGTCAGTAGTTACTGCGGCAAAACGTTCTTGGTCATCCCTATCATGGTGATAAGTGCCTCAAAACGCGCACTCGCCAGGGGCTTGGTCATCAAGTCTGAGGGATTCACGTCTGTCTTTACCTTCCACAGTTCTACTGCTTTCTTCACATACTGATCCCGAACATAGTGCCAACGCAGTTCAATGTGTCGAGTACGGCGACTATAGGTCGGGTTTGTAGCCATCACAAAGGCAGCTTTATTGTCAATCCCGAGACGAAACTTCGACACCAACCTTGGGAATATCTCGATTAGAACCTGAATGAGACCCCTCCCTTCCATACAGGCCTCGCAAGCTGCTACATATTCGGCCTCAGCCGTAGATTGTGCCACAATACTTTGACGTCGTGATGCCCACGATATGGCACCTCCTGCCAAGCAATGTACATATCCAGTAATGCTTTTCCTCGTGTCTGGGTCGTTTCCCCAGTCCGCATCGCAAAATTCCTCAACGGTTAAATCACTTCTTAATTTTCCATCATTGTTTGCGTGGAACACAATTCCATGAGTCTTGGAACCCACCAGATACCTTAACACTCTCTTGGCTGCACCGATGTGCTGTTGGGTTGGTTGTTGTACGTATCTGCTAAGCTGCCCGACCACATACGCAAGATCTGGCCTCGTACATGTTGCCAGATACATCAATGAGCCAATTAGCTCACGATATGGAAATTCTTTGCCATTGTCAGGTATGCGTTTGGCCCTCGCGGTATTCGTATCGTTTACAGAAAGTCGTATGTTTGTTTCCATCGGAATTCTGCTAGCGTGCGCATCTCCAAAGTTAAAACGATTGATAACGTCTTCGCAGTATTTCGTCTGATGAATTTAAATCGCATTATCGCTTCTCTCTACTTGAACACCCAATTAAGTGCTAAGTAGACCTTGATCCTTCATTCCATAGACCTCGTCCAGACTCCGAAACATTTTCGTCTTGAATAATTCATTCTTGGTTGCACACAGAATGTCATCCACGTAGAGTAGTGCCAATACGAACTTAGAACCTGAATCGTAGTAATACAGACACGGTTCTGTAGTGCAACGCTTAAACCCATACCGTAAAAACCACGCATTTACTTCGGTGTTCCACTCTCGACCAGACTGTTTAAGACCATACAGTGCCTTGTGAACAACATATACCATGTCGTCAGTTTCAGAAGGATATCCATCTATAGAGTCCAAGTACTGCTTGATCCCCAAGGGTGCATTCAGGTAGGCCGTGTTGATATCACCCTGGTAAATGGTCAAGTCCATCAATAGGCAAATGGCCACGAACATCCTGAAAGTCGCCATACGTGCTACAGGACTGAAGGTTTCTCCATAGTCAATTCCTGGGCGTTGTTTGTCACCTCGAGCCACAATTCTTGCTCGAAGACGGATAACGTTGCCTAAGTGGTCCGTTTTAACACTATAGACCCACATTGTCTTGATCGCTTTAGTGTCTTCAAGCATCTCTCGTTTCGAAATTAATGTGATCACTCCCTTGGACTTCATTGCTTCCAATTCTTCGTCCATAGCTGCTTTCCACTGGGTTGCATATTTCGAGCACATCGCCTGACGAAAGTTCTTTGGTGTCCGAATATCACTTGCGCGAGTACCGTACGCTTCGCTTTCAACGTTCTTTGGTGTTCTGAATGCAGCGTTAACCGTGAAATCTTCGCGCTGGTTCAGTATACATTGCTGATCATTCTTTCTCAATATGGGTAGACGCGGAGTGATCTTTGCTCTTTTGTGATCCTCTTTTATTCTTTTGTGCTCTCTACTTCGCCTGACTTCGACATCTCTGGGTCTTCTGTGGCCGATCAGCTGATCATTGGCAATGGTCAACGTCGTGGTGCCGTTCACAGCCTCCAACATGTCACTTGGATCGAATAAACAATCATAATTGTAGTCACTTGCAGCATAGACAGATTCATTTCGAGTCACTTCAGGGTCTGTTATATGTCCAGTATCAGTGAGCAGTCTCTCTTCACCTGAAGCTGTATCATCATCTGCGTCTGTATCATCAGCGTTATCATCGTCAGCTGTTTCCTCGTCATTGTGCGACTCAAGTCCGGATTCCGCATCGTCTTTATCGTCGTCATAAATATCCGAGTCATTTGCAACTGCTTTGTTGCTATCTGGAACAGAGTCACAATATTCGGCGCAATAATGTGCTGTAGAATCAGCTGGAGGATCCGATGCATCTTCTGAAAATTCTTGAGAAATGCTGTCACTGGGTGCTAACTCTTCCCCCGGCGTAGCATGTTCAGATAGTTCGTGAGAAACGCTGTCACTGGGTTCTAGCTCTCCCCCTGCGTTTCACCAGATTCGCTCTCCTGACCTTCTTCTTTGTCGCTACTGCTCGCACTGAAATATTGTTCGCTGGTTTGTCCTTGTGTCTGGACCACTTCTGGTAAAATACTATTGCGTAGCATGTCATTCCACAAGGTTTGGTCTGCCTCATTTAGAGTGTCGGGATCGGATTCAGCAGTCTCCATCTGAATGGTACTGCTATTACAATCCATGCTTGCTACAATGTCAGTCAGATGTGACACCTCGGATTCTTCAGAACTAGAATCATTAAATGCGCCCTCCTCAGCGTATTCACTTAGTGTCTGGAGCCACCGTCTGACTTTTGATGTAAATCCACTGTCGAAACGATCCTTATACTTTATAGCCTCATTTATCTTGACATCTGACACATATCCTTTCATGTGCTCTGTTGGGAAGTACACATGACAACCAACAATGTTCTCGTGATATCCAATGAGGAATCCCACTCGGCAATTCATGCTCAGCTTTTTCCGTTTCTCTCTTGGCGTGTGACAATAAGTGAGTGACCCAAACGCCCGGATGTGATGAACGTCCGGTCTCGAACCAAACATCAACTCATACGGAGTGCGTCCTGCCCCTTTGCAATACACTCTGTTTTTGATGTAGGCAGCTGTTACTAATGCATGCACCCAAAATGATTTAGGTAATCCAGACTGGTGCATCATGGTCTTCACCATTCCAATCAATGTCTGGTGTGTGCGCTCAACTAAATTTAGTTGGGACGCTTTGGGGCCGACTCTTGTATGCACTATGCCCCTTTCTTGATACCACTGTGCCATTGTACCATTGCAAATTCCTGTCCTTTGTCTGTAAGGACTTGCCTCACGAGAGCTCCTTGGCTTCGTTGAGAATCTTCACTCAACTGATGAGTAATCACAGCCTCAACCCTCTTGCCAACTTGTCGTTCAGCCCAAGCAATATATTCCTGCATGAATTTGTTGACTTCATTCTCAGACTTAGACTTGAGCATGAAGACACTGACGTAACGTGAGTATCCATCCATAACGACTAGGACGGCGGTGTATGGGGATCCATTGCCTATTCCTGGTATCAGCAAATCGGCAAAAACAATGTCATTAACGTTCGCGATATTTCTATCTAACGCCTTTCGAAATGACTTTCGCCGCTGTTTACCAACATGACAGTCTACACAATCGAATTTCCCACGTCTCTTTAGCATGATACCTTTTGCCAGGCCACGATCAACCATCAACCGGATATATTCTGGACACGTGTGTGCCAGTCGTTCATGCCAGACATCGATATCTTCCACACCATCAGTCACTGCAAAGTTAGCAATAACTTGTCGCTTCGTGGTAATGTTTTTCTTGTGCTGTGCAGTATTATTTGCATTTTGAGCAGTAAACGTCCATAGGCGGTGCTTCCGATGTGTCCGTATCACCTCGATATCGTCTTTCGTCATAGTAAATATCTTAGCATTCGGGTCCCATGACATGCTGAATCCTTGGTCCATAGCCAAACCAGGCGAAAACAAATTGCCTCCAGCTTGAGGGGCGTAGAGAACGTCTTCCACGAACACTGTTACCAATTCTTCACCAACAACTGTTGCAAGAATAATCGTACCAAATCCTTCAGCTTTTGCTTTCGCTCCATTGAGTGTGAATCCGGATATCTTTGGATTCCAGTCACTGTCTTCCATACTCTGTAGTACAGTAAAGTATTCCTTGGAGAACACTATGTGGGCATTTGCACCCGTGTCGAAATACCAGTTGCTAGTAGTTGAATCCTTTGACGTCAACTTTGTAGCTTCTCCTATCACCACGTCACGCTTATCTGCTTGCACCTTGCGTTGCAATAAAGGCTCGCCCTTCTCTTCCATTTTCGTCTTGCTACCAGAGTTGGCGTACTTTGCGTGAGCACTTTTTCTTCCACGCGACTTCTCTTCATTCATCAATTGTGGACAATTTCTCTTGTAATGGCCTTTACCTCCACAATGATGACACTCAAAATCATGATTCTTGATTTTTCTCGTCTTATCGTCTCTCAAGGTTTGCCTCATGCCACCTCTCGTTCCAGTAGTTGGACCATTTGGCTTCTTCTTGCCTTGAGCGCTCCCGAATGCATAGCTTTCCCAGTCCTTACTGCGCGACTCGGCGGTGAATATCATCTCGCGAACTATCTCAGGCGTATATTTACTCATATTTGAGCTAAATAATACCTTTCTTCTGAGTTCATTATAGCACATCTGCGTCGGGAGACTGCGCAGCATCATGTCCACCATCTGTAAATCATTTACAGGAGAATTCAAGTCCTCGAGCTGGTCTTTGATGTCGAACAAAGTGTACAAATGACTTCTCACGTCACCATTTGGACGCAAATGGGTCCTGTGTAGCTCGCTTTGGAGGCGGTACACTTTCTGCGCTATCATGGCTGAGTTTTGCTTCCCTTTAAAAATTGAGCAGAGCTCGTGCCACATCTCGGTTCCTGTCTTCTTCGACATCACCTGCTTGGCCAGCTTCATCGACAACGAGCCTTGAATAAGAATCTTCACCTCGGCTTGACTTTTCTTGAACTTGTCCTTCTTGGCTTGATTCCGGATGCGTCCTCCACAACGCCTCCTGCTGCGATCTCATCGAGAAGGTTTTGCTCGAATGCGTTGAGCATCGCGTGCTTGTAGATGGTCCAGTCTTCTCCATTCCAATTTACTGGAGTGCCTTGCGATCCCAACTTAATCTCCTTGTGTCTTTTTCTCTTGCCGTCCTCAGAGTCCGATGAGGAATACATGGTATAGTTGTTGTAGTGTAGTCTTGTTTAGCGCTTCTCTTAATAGCAGGTCGTCGTTGGGCTCATAACCCTAATAGAGTATTGATAAAGGGAAACAATGGCTACGCACTCACAAACAACTTGTTTACTGGAGGAAAACTTTTGGACTGAGTCTACTCAATGCATGTCTTCATGTCAGGAGGAATCTTCTACGAAATACCTTCCAGATAAAACCTTCCCTGGAAAAGGTATTGTCAACCGCCACCCTTTACTTCATTGTCCACCGTTGACTTGCATCCAGTTTCCAACAGTGCCTGAAAGCTCGGAAGCTGAATCGTTTTGGGAGCGCAGAGCGCGCATCGTCGAAGAAGCCAAGCAGAACCTACGTCAAGCTCAAGAACGACAGAAACGCTATTACCATCAAGGTCGCCGCAAAGTGGAATTCAAAGCTAAAAATTGGGTCCTGGTCAATGCGTCACCGCTGTCCAAGAGGCATGTTCAAGAATCTTAGTCTACGAACAAGCTCCTTCTCAAGCATGTCGGTCCTTTCAAGGTGTTGCAACAGCTGAGTCCGGTCACGTACAAGATTCAGCTACTGCCGCAGATAAGCAAGATTAAAAAATGTATTTAACATCGACCAGCTCAAGTTCTCACCGGGTTCTCCTAGCCACCTTGTCGGCCGACCGCTGTACAAAACCACCGTAGTGCTGTACGACGAGCACGGCCATCGAGTGTGGGTGATCGAGAGTCTCGAAGCTACACGAAAGGTGAACAAAAAGAACCAATAACTCGTCAAGTGGGCAGATCTCCCATCGGATCAAGCGATTTGGCAGTGGGAAAATGACGTACGGCACGAAGCGCATTAAAAGCAGCTTCTCGCCGGTCTGCGCGCTCGCATCAAGGCCCAATGTGCTCGTCGGTCGCGGCTCGATTAACCCGCGGAGAATGTAATGACGCAATCAGCGTCATTGATCCACTCTCTGTATTCCTGTATGTCTCTGACATCTTTTCGATGTCAGTGTCTATCCCGTTGCTTGGTCCCGTTTTGACGCTAGAGCGTTCGTTCCGAAGCGTGGACTTTCCGCCTGAGTTCGTGATAACCCAGCCTTCCAGATTTGATGACCCAGTCTTCCATGTTGCTGAACGTATATCAGGTGGCGTTGAAATTACCTGGAACTCCAGATCCCGTATCCTCAACTTCAACCGCTGACCGTACCAGATCCTGCAGTGCCATATAGTTGTTAGTGTAAGAGTAAAGATTCATAGGATCACACTTTAGCACAACGATAACTTTGATAAATCTCACTTTCCAAATTTCCGTCTTCCTCTCCAGTCTCCAGTCTTCAGCCTTCACACCAACACAACACAAGACATGAAGGACATAAAAACACGCTTTTAGTCAAAGAAGATGCAATGAACCTATTGCATAAAAATTTTTTTCATCAAGTGCATTTTTTCCGTCCATGAACTGTTCTCGACTGGCTTGCGCATTAGTTACTAGTGTGGCAAAGTCTTGCCAGGATGATCCTGCGCAGGAACATATGCAATGCGGGAGCCTTCCACACAAGTGTAATGAAAATTCATAATTATTGATTTCTAAAGGTCTGCTGTGGTACATTCGATTTTTTTGTGATAGTCTGGCAGCCTAACCTGTCGTGGCATACATTCCTGTAGCGCAGATTTCTCACCATCGCTTATCGGGCGTAATGCATCATCTTTGTGCAGCGTATACTATTATATGCTATTTGAATTAGCTTTCGGGGCTCTTAATGTTCCGCTGTTGAGTCCTCGGTTCTTTCTTTTTATGATGTAAGAAGCCTGATAACATCTCCTGCTATCCGTGCTGCCTGTAGGGGCCCAGTGCGCTAAAATTCCTAGTCCGCAGTCTCCTGGTGCGCCGCATCGCCATTGTTCAATGGGCAATGCATCTTTAGTTCTATGACCTGACTTCCCTTTCTGCCCTGTATGCCAAATGGGCCATTTTCATAGAGATATGGGCCCTTGCGGTGGGCCCGGTGACAGTGTCGGCGCCCATATCGCGTGGAGCCGTCGCTTCCACTCATATACATTAGGTTCGACTTTCGAGTGGTTAAAAACGGATTGTATCAAATCTCAGTTTTCGTGCAAATAGGAAATTAAAAGGAACATGTCAAAATCTTCTGCATCTTGAACATACGCCTGCCGTCATTAGGTGTCTGAGAAGAGGACCAGAAGACAACACCCATCTAAAATGCAAGCCTTGTATGTCGTGGAGAGATTAAATAACGGCGATTGACGAGAAGAAGCAGCCAGCCTGACTTTGCTTAAGTTATCCACAAATTGCATATTGACTACTTGTAATGTAAGGAGAAGCAGTTCGAATCGGGTGTAGTGTGTATAGCGTTATGACGTCGCGAAAAGACCGGTTGGAAAGTGAGGGTAGCCACATTCTCGGTCTATCGAAGTCAACGGGACAAGTCAAATGGAGGCTCTTGATAGTGAGTGAATTACTGAGGGCAACAAGTAAAAATTGGCAAAGATTTGGGCCTTACATCGTATTGACAAGATGACTAAGTAGCAACGGATCGGCGTGCAATGCGTATACGTGTATCGATTTTATATAGAATTAATTGACAGCGCAAACCGAGCGCGTATTATATGAGAAAAAGGCCAACTGTCATGGCCCGATAAATTTAAGATTTAAAGATATGATCTTTATCTTGAGCCCTGTATTTAGAAGCTGAAATTAACGAGTGGTAGCGACTAACGTCAACTAGATGATTAGAAGTCGTTCGTAGGATCATTTCTCAAAAATTCTCGACAAAAATAAAAGGTGATGTTGTGTCCTTAATGTGTCGTTGAGGTAAGCGGAAATTTATTAAAAGCGTGCTCAATACGAAAATTCCGTAATTATCCCACTGGCCTTTATTTTATTATCAGCAATCACAGAAACCTTTTTCACGCTTGCAAAATAAGTGATGATCATTTGTTCATTTAAAAAACACTAATCGGACAGGCATCGATTCAAATATATCAATTTGACAACTTATAACTGCTAACATAGCTTTATTTAGCGGTCGGCACACTTGACTTGATACCTTGAACCCGAATAAAATTACCTTTTACCTGCGTTCCATCAGATGAATCACTGCTAAAATTCAGACTCTTAGTCTTAGCTGTTAGTGAATGATTTGTAGGATTTAAAGTGTGTGTGCTAGAATTTTTGTAGACCGGTACGAAGTTTTTTATGAATAATTCTTATGTATTGTGCTAGGCACTATTGACACCAGACAACACTCCCATTTTTTACGGCACCCTTTAATTAATAAAATATTGACGGATCTTTTAACCCTAATTATTACTTTATATTCAATTTATCATTTAAGTAGGGTCACAAACTCCTGTTTTTAGGGATGAAAGTTACTGACCGATGTCAATTTTATCTGGCCACTTGACCAGCGAATTGACGTTTCAAGTTAGGTAGAGTAATTAAGAGTGAATTCCTGTATTGATTATGTCATTAAAGTGGATGTTACTTGTGTGACCTACTTGCAAATGTACCATATTTCATGCAATCGAGGAAAGAATAAACGCACTGGTCGCAAGGGGATTATTGTACCGGCAGTAAGTTTTAACGAGCCAAAAACATGGCTTTTATCTTTTTTCCTGTTAAACTCAATCCAATTTTGATGAATCAATGCTAACATTTGTTAAACCTAACCCACTACGATATTTTATTCGTAACTGCTTAATGGAAATTGCTAGCGCGCGATCAACCACGAAGGCCGAGGAAATTACATATTGCGGATACATCAATGTGATACTGTGCTTCCGGAGCACCCTGCATTTTCTTGATTGAACAAATGCATGCCACATAACACTTATGTATGTCTGCTTGCTTTTCAATTCCGAAGAACGCCTGTGAAATTTAAATACCATTGATTTATGGTCTTTGAACAACTAAAATTCGTCAATACTTGATGCTGCTTCTTTAAATGCTAGCTGTATTGATGGTATTGTCGTCATTTTGTGCGATTTATTACAGTCATTTAGCAGAACCAATGACCCGATAACGCCCCTTCGACCGGTCCCTGAACCCCCCCTACTAGATGGCCACTAATAACTGGCATCTCTAGGCCCATCCAGTCTAGGAGCTGTCGAAAATTTGCGAAGTTGATTGAAACTGATTGTGTCGTAAGGGAAAAATGTCAAAGCAAGTGTATTTGTAACGGGGCATCCTTTGTTTAGGGTGCCACGAAACTTCACGTACACTAGTACGTGCAGAGGAAGCTAATCCACTCAAGCAGATCGTTTGAGTAAAGGGTAAAAATAGAACTGTCTTTAATATAGTTAAGCTATCAATGTAACTTCAGTCATTATCTCACTATATTAAACTACTTTTTCGTACGACGACAACCTGCTCAC